AGGAGGAGGAAGGGCAGGAGGAGGAGGAGGAGGAGGAGGAGGAGGAGGAGGAGGAGGAGGAAGGGCAGGAGGAAGAATGGGAGGAAGAGCAGGGGAGGAGGATGAAGAGGAGGAGGAGGAAGAGGAAGAGGAAGAGAAAGAGGAAGAGGAAGAGGAAGAGGAAGAGGAAGAGGAAGAGGAAGAGGAAGAGGAAGGGCAGGATGAGGAAGAGCAGGAGGAGGATGAAGAGGAGGAGGAGGAAGGGCAGGAGGGACAAGGACGAGAATGATGAGGATGAGGATGAAGGATGAAGATGATGAGGACAAGGATGAGGACGAGGATGAGGATGAGGAGAACAGGGATGAAGATGAAGATGAGGATGAGGACAGGAACGGGGTTGAGTTGAGGAGAACTTTGGGATGAAGATGAGGATGACGAGGATGAGGATGAGGATGAAGATGAGGATGATGAGGATGAGGACAGGAACGGGGTTGAGTTGAGGAGAACTTTGGGATGAAGATGATGAGGATGATGAGGATGAAGATGAGGATGAGGACAGGAACAGGGTTGAGTTGAGGAGAACTTTGGGATGAAGATGAAGATGATGAGGATGAGGCTGAGGCTGAAGGCTCTGGCCGGCAGGGAGGAGCAGGCCGAGGAGGTGAAGAAGAAGAAGGAGGGGATGAGGATGAGGATGAGGATGAGGATGAGGATGAGGATGAGGATGAGGATGATGATGAGGATGGAGATGAGGAGAACAGGGATGAAGATGGAGATGAGGATGAGGACAGGAACGGGGTTGAGTTGAGAACTTTGGGATGAAGATGATGGATGAGGATGAGGATGAGGATGAGGATGAAGATGAGGACAAAGGTGATGAAGATGAGGATGAGGATGCAGATTAAGATGAGGATGATGAGGATGAGGATGAGGATGGTGATGAGAACAGGGATGAGGATGAGGACAGGAACGGGGTTGAGTTGAGGACAACTTTGGGATGAAGATGATGGATGAGGATGAGGATGAAGATGAGGACGAGGATGACAATGAGGATGAGGATGAGGCTGAGGCTGAAGGCTCTGGCCGGCAGGGAGGAGCAGGCCGAGGAGGTGAAGAAGAAGAAGGGAATGAGGATGAGGATGAGGATGAGGATGAGGATGAGGATGAGGATGAGGATGAGGATGAGGATGAGGATGGAGATGAGGATGGTGATGGGGATGAGGATGAAGATGATGAGGATGGAGATGAGGATGATGAGGATGAAGATGGTGATGAGGAGAACAGGGATGAGGATGAGGACAGGAACAGGGTCAGGATGAGGACAACAGTGGGATGAGGATGAAGATGAGGATGAGGATGAAGATGGAGATGAGGATGAGGATGAAGATGGAGATGAGGATGAGGACAGGAATGGGGTTGAGTTGAGGAGAACTTTGGGATGAAGATGACAAGGATGAGGATGAGGATGAGGATGAAGATGGAGATGAAGATGAGGATGAGGATGATGAGGACGAGGATGAGGATGAGGATGAGGATGAGGATGAAGATGGAGATGAGGATGAGGATGAGGATGATGAGGACGAGGATGAGGATGAGGATGAAGATGGAGATGAGGATGAGGACAGGAACGGGGTTGAGTTGAGGAGAACTTTGGGATGAAGATGACAAGGATGAGGATGAGGATGAGGATGAGGACAAAGGTGATGAGGATGAGGATGAGGATGAGGATGAGGATGAGGATGAGGATGAGGATGAGGATGAGGATGGTGATGGGGATGAGGATGAAGATGATGAGGATGGAGATGAGGATGAAGATGAGGATGGTGATGGGGATGAGGATGAAGATGATGAGGATGGAGATGAGGATGATGAGGATGAGGATGGTGATGAGGAGAACAGGGATGAGGATGAGGATGAGGATGAGGATGAGGATGAGGATGAGGATGAGGACAGGAACGGGGTTGAGTTGAGGAGAACTTTGGGATGAAGATGATGAGGATGAGGATGAGGATGAGGACAGGAACGGGGTTGAGTTGAGGAGAACTTTGGGATGAAGGTGATGAGGATGAGGACAGGAACGGGGTTGAGTTGAGGACAGCTCTGGGATGAAGATGAGGATGATGAGGATGAGGCTGAGGCTGAGGCTGAAGGCTCCGGCCGGCAGGGAGGAGCAGGCCGAGGAGGTGAAGAAGAAGAAGAAGGACGACGAGGAGGACACCATCCCACCCGAGATCTGGGAGCTGCTCAAGGGCGTCACCAAGAAGAGCGAGTACGAGCGCATCGCCTTCCAGTACGGCATCACCGACCTGCGCGGCATGCTCAAGC